AAGTAAATACTATATTAGAATAAACATGCGTCAGATTATCATCATAGACCAAAGCATACACGTATACTGACACACAAATAAACACTCACACACATACACACACACACACGAGCGTGTGTGTGTGTGTGTGTATGTGTTTGTGAATAAGAGTGTGCGTGTTTGTGAGAGTGTTTGAGTTGTAAGCACGCAAAAAATGATATATGCTTCTTAAGACTAAATGAATGGAATCAATCTAATAAATAAAAATGGAATTGTCATAATGCAAGAAATAAGTGAATAACTAAATGAACGAAAGAAGAATAAACGAACGAACGAACAAACGAACAATTGAAAGAATGATTAAACCAAAAAAAAGAAAGAGGAAATAAAATAAGCGATAGCGGTCAATCAAATATATTGTACGATGTACGCCGACACAAAATTAAAAGAAACCTAATAATATTCATCGCCGAATTCAACATCAACATCCTCACCGTCGTTATTATTATTATTATTACTATTATTATTATTAGTAGTAGTAGTAGCAGTAGTAGTAGTGGTGATGGTAGTAGAGGCAATAGCAGTAGTAGTGGTAGTGGTAGAAGTCTTGTTAGTAGGACTGTGGATATTGTTGAAAACTTCAATGTCATCCTTCTGTTCATACTGTTTTGCCTGCAATGAGGTTAAGTTATTACTTTTTCATTTCCGAATTAAATGAATGGTTGGTTGATTGATTGATTGATTGATCGATCGATTGATTAAAGGAATGATTAGCTTAATAATTGATTGGCTGGTTGGCTAATTAAATCAATTATAATTAATATTGAGAAACTTTCTTTCTCGTGCCTTATCTTCTCAGTAGAAGTTAAAATGTGGTGATATTCAACAAGTGACACAGGGAATGTTATTCGTTGTTGACCGCGATCTCTTTTCCCTGCATTCTTTCCAGTAGTTGTTAGATTTTCCATTCTTTCCTCCCGTATGATGTGACCGAAAAAGTTTAACTACTCCCTTCGGATTGTCAGTAGTAGTTTCCTCTTTTCATAACCGGACTGTTTTAATACATCTTCATTCGAAGTATGAGAGGTCCCACTAATTTTCATAATTCTTCTCAAAAACCACATCTCAGCCGCGTTAATCGGCTTTTTTAAAAGCTTTTTTCTTTAAAAATAAGAAGACTTAAAGAATAAATAAATGAAGGAGTGAAAAATGAAATGAAGAAATAAAGGAATGCATGAATAAAAGAATGAATGAATGAATGAATGAATGAATGAATGAATGAATGAATGAATGAATGAATGAATGAATGAATGAATGAATGAATGAATGAATGAATGAATGAATGAATGAATGAATGAATGAAAAACATCAGAAAAACGACTGAATAAAAGAATTGTGACTCATACATATTGAACTAGGTTATAAAAAATGAAAACAACTAGAAATGAATCAACTTTAGTTTGAATGTCTATCAAAAAAAGAATAACAATAATAACAACAACAAAAACAACAACAACAACAACAACAATAATAATAATAATAATAATAAGCTGAAGAAGAGTAACAAAACGGAATCTGAACACCGATAAAGGACACAGATCACCCACTATGATGTTAGCAATGGCAAGTTCAATGGCAGTAGAGCAGGACATCAGCCTCATCACATCAACGTCAGTCAGTAACTCATCCATCCCCTCTCTTGTCATCATCCTCATCTCGCCTCTATCCATATCTCTAGTATCATTATCCAACGCTTGGGAGGATGAAACGTTCTCTGCCGTAGAGTTGTTTCTATATTTATCTTTAATGATGTATTGTTCTATATTTAGAACACCGGATTTTGCTGGAACTTTTGATGAGGTATCAGTTTTATTGCACGGTGATTGCTGCTGTTTTAAATGTCGCTGTAGCTTCGTTGAGTGGTGGTGGCTGATAGAATGGTGTTGTCGGTAGTGATGATGTTGCTGGCGCTGCTGCTGTTGCTGATGTTGGTGCGACTGATTTTGATACGACGGCTGCTGTGAAAAGACAAGTTTGTTGATGTAATTGACTTGTAGCAAAGCAAACTCGATCAACTTTTGCTGACGCATGCCCTTGAAATCAGCATTCAACTGTCTCATCTTATTGTCGGAGAAGAAATAAAAATAAAAATAAATTAAATTGAATTTTCAAAAAAAAAAAACAACAAAAAAACAAGATCGTTCATTGGGTTTATCAAACATTGTACTTGAGAAAGTTGGCCAGTGACAAAGCAGTCCAAGCTCCAAACTCTTGGATTCATAAATAATCATGACTCAATAATAATGAAGATAAATAAACCCTAACATGGTCATCGTCTAGTAGAAGCAATGGGGGAGGTGAAGAGGACAACGATGATGAAGCTGGTGACAACAAAGCTGGTGATGTTGTTAATGATGATGTGGACGGTGACAATGATGACTCAAATATCAGCTGAGACAACGGTGACATGATGAAACTGCTGTTGCTATTGAGATTGTTGTTTGATTTGTCTGGTGGTGATGATGATGATAGCGTGGGTGAGAAAGATGATGATGATAATTTTGAGAGGTCCAGGGAGAATCTGTTGAAGAGCGGTCTGTGAGTTGATGTACGCAATGTGATGTCACTCATTTGATGTTGATGCTGCTGCTGCTGATGATGATGAAGGTGATGTTGATGATGAAGGTGATGTTGATGATGACGTCTGTGAATCAACGATGGTGACGAGGCTGGTGAAAACGGCAATGACGTCGATGGCGATGAAGTAGGTAGAAGTGGCGGCGGTGAGGTCGATGGAGACGTAAGTGGTCGCGACAGCGATGAAGACGACGACAGCGATGATGCCGATGTCCTGTTCAGTAACTTTCCAAAACCTGGATCGTTATCATCATCATCAGCAGCGGAAGGAACAATCGTACCTCCATCGTGATCATCATAACCATCATAACCAGCATCACCATTACCGTCGGTCTTATCATCATTTATCATTTTTGATAATTTGATTTTATTTTTGATCAACCAATGGATGGTAGAAATGCACTCCTTCAGTTGTTCTATGATGACGCTGACGTCATTGCTGCTGTTATTGTTGATTGCTGGAGCATTTTGATTTTGTTGGAATGAAGTTGTTGTCGTTGTGGAAAGTGTATCGCTTGGGCAGCAGGAATCGCTGAATAAATGGCAAACATTTTACCTATACAGTATAAACAATTTAGTTGAAAAGAGTTTAACTTCATAAGCTCGCCAACCAATTAACCAGCCAACCAAAAAAACCAACCAACCAAGCAACCAACCAGCCTACTAAACAAACAACCAGCCAGTTATTCGACCAACCTATCTTCATTTTCTTCGTATCTAACATCCAAACTCTTGGATGAGTGGAATGGAGTTTTCTTCCTAAGGGGTGCTCCAACCTGTGGTTCAGTTGTTGCGCTTGTTGTTATCGTTGATGACGTTAATGATGACGTAATACGACGTAACATTATGATGTAATAATACAGCACTGCGATGACGTCATCAATAATAATTTCGATTTTGATGGCTAAAATTATGAAGAAGTTGATAATAACAACAGCAAATTATAACATCAAAAAGTAGGCACTAAAAAACAATGGCAATGATGTGAGAAATGATGACGACAGTGGTTATAAAACTAGCCACGTTGATGATACATGACGAGGTAATGGCAAATGAGTGAGAAAATTGTGAAAACTTTTTTGAGGGCTTCGAGCAAAGATGGGGCAGACTCTCTCCTCTTGTAGAACAGACCCTTCTCGACTGCATCAGCATCTTTCTTTCGTAGTTTTACCATATTTAAATTCGTTTCACTGGATCTGTTACTGCTGCTAATGTTGATGCTGTTGTTGCTAATGTTGATGTTGTTGCTGCTAATGTTGATGTTGTTGTTGCTACTGTTGATGTTGTGGACTGGTTGTTGCGTGGATTGTTGCTGCTGTCGATGTTGCTGTTGCTGCCTGACTAGATTGTTGTTGTTGTTGCTACTGAGATTGTTGTCATTGTAGTTAATGTTGGCGTTGATTATCGGACCATTTATTTTCCTGTTGAAGAAAAATTGTCATGAAAGTTTTAAAAGTTTCGAAAATCGAGAATGAAAAATTATTAAACATTACTCAAGCATCATTTATAAAACTATCCACATATGCAAATGTGGACCAATAACAGCTGTAACCTGGATGCAGTCAGTCGTGGCAAGGTAGGATATGTGGATAATTATATTCATAAAAAGTTTTTCAATCCATCGATCCATCGATTTTACATGAATACAATCTATCAAACTTCTACTTTTTTTATCAGGCAACCAATCAACGTTTTGATTAATTCATTATCCATTATAAGACAACCATTCATTAACATTACATCTCCCCATGTATTTTTCCAAGTTCTATTTTCCAAGTAAACAGCAACAACTACTACAACCGCAGCTGCTGCTTCTACTACTACTGCTACTACTACAACCGTTACAACTACTACGACTACTTATACTAATAGTACTACCACAGCAATTAATGTTACAAACCTTCTACTATCACCATGCAAAAGCAATTACTACTTACTAACCTACTTACTACAGCCACTACTACTGCTACCACAACTACCATTACTACAGCCATACGTTATCACTACTACAATTAAAACCATTACAATTACTAACTCGTTGATGGATAGGGAATAATCCGCACTGGAGTGCAGTTGCATGGTGGAAGGAAATTTTAATGACGACGAAGTGAGGATGGATGATGGTGTAGGAGGCAGATGATGGAGGTGATGATGAAATGTGGAATGGTGGTGATGGAGATGATGAGGATTGTTGTTGTTGAGGTGGTGATGCTGCTGCTGCTGCTGCATACTAAGGTGTTGCTGGCAGTTCTGAACGGCATCTGTGATGGCGTCGAACCATCTGGATTGGCATGAGTTGGGAATTCGTAATATAATCAACGGATTTGTAATATACCACGGATTTGAAATATATCACGGATCAGTAATATATCACTGATTTTTATTTAGTTAAACCAACCAACTAAATCAAAACAATCAAATAGCTTTAAATAATTATAGTATAGTAATAAAAAATACGAGTAATGATCCGAAATTGTTAAAAAATTACTCAAATAAACACTGCGAAGTACAGACTTGTTTCTAAGTTCTTTGGTCTTTGCAACCATGTGGTAGAATTGTGGCGAGTTACTGTCTATGATGTAGAAGGCGTACTTATCTGGGTTGGTTCGTTTCATTTATGGCTTTATTTTATTCACCTCATTTCAAACAATAAGTTTGGAGGAATCAATTCATCACGTTATTTTAATACATTTCATCATTGAAACGTATTTCCTCTTTCCATTTCACTTTTTAATTACTCCCATCCAACCAATGCACGTATAAAGAAACATACGTGTAACTTTTTACACGCACGTTCACACACACACGCACGCACATTCACACACACTTACACACGATCAATGTCTCACCTTTCCCGGCATTCTTGGTCAGAAGGCCAGACAGTTTGAGGACAGGGTAGTAGGTGAACTTGCGGTCTTCGATGGTCGTCGTCTGACATTTGAAGACCAGTCTGTCTTCCTGCTTGATGAGTAATAGCAAGACGTCCTCGCACAGGATGCAGTGCATGTCGTGACTCTTCTGCCCTCCCGCTCTTTTGTATCTGGGTTAGTGGGTTAGTAGATCGGGAGAGTTCGTGAATGTAGGTTAGTATGTCAGGAGGTTTTTGTTTGCTTCGTAAATGAAGGTTAGGTCGGGGGTTTTCAAATACGGGTTAATGAATCGTGATATGAAGATATTTAGTTGTGGTTGCGTTTAAGTATTCTGTTGAATGGCATTTTTGAGAGAAAAAAAATTATGCTGAAGGCAAAGAGTCGAAGAAATAAGCATTATTAAGATTATTTTTGTAACAAAATTGTTAGCCCTACCATTTCACAAGAAACATCCTAAAACGAATGTGTACCTCAGTGCACACTACCGTCCAACTATTATTGCAATATATAAAACTGATGACGTGATATTGTAGAAACTAATCTCATTAAAATCTTTGACGAATAGATTACTTGCTAGCCCATTCGTTATATGCCGAACAAGATAGAAACGACAATCATATGAAAAGCCAACTATATTCAATTCAATTATTTGATTTAATTAACGATCTAATCAATTTATTTCATCGAAAGTTTTTTGAAAAATGTCTAAAAAGAGTAACAGCGATAGATGTATTCTTTCCAAAAAATTATTAACTCTTCAAAATATTGCTGCTGGTTTAAAGTCTGTTTGTACCAACGTATGCATAGCAGAATACACAGAATAATAATTACAACGCGTTGATATTTGTAGGTAGAGATTATTTATTTCTCACTTGACGACCAGTTCGCCATCCAAGATTAGTTTCTTCTTGGTCAGGTCGAGTTTTTTGTAAGGTTCCATGTTTGGATCGGTTGAATTTTCGATGAGACGTGTATCTAACCTCGACTGCAATTCATCCAAGTGACGCTTGTTCTCACACTCTCGCATCTGAATTGATGGTTGGTTATGTTGAAAAATTATGATGGAAAATTAATTTATTAAGTGTTGGTATAATTTGTTGAGCTTCCAACATAGAGAACGGGTGAATGGAGCATAAAAAAGATAACACATGTGAGAATTTCATTCAAATTGAAATAAACGATAAAAAAACATTAAATGGCATTACTCTTCAGTAACCGCCAGTTCTTATCCAAACATTCAAATTCAGCCAAACAAACATTCAAATTCAGCCAAACAAACATTCAAATTCAGCCAAACAAACAAACGACCAGCCGATCCAATGTCTAACCAACCGACCTACCAACCAACTGACTAAACAACCAACCAACCAACTGACTAAACAACCAACTGACCAACCAACCGGCCAACCAACTGACCAACCAACTGACCAGCCAACCCACCGACCAACCTGGCCATCAACATATCTCAAAATACTCTTAGTCAATCTATTGGCCTCGATAAGTTTCGAATGGTCATCAGACAGTGGAGATGAATTGTTGATGAGGTTGTCAATGAGAAGAGGGTACTTGGTGATTCGTTGCATCTCTTTTGGCAGAAACTCTTTCAAGCCAAGCCGACCGCTGTAGGGACTGAGAGAAGCCTCCTACGTTGTATGTTCATCATTGTGAAGTTTAATAACATAATATTTAACAAAATGATGTCTAACAATATAAGGTTTAATTATTAGTTTTTATCACCACAAGTTTAATGAATATGAATCTTGGGATGTATGTTGTTGTTGTTGTTTGATGAGAAATTTTTTTGTCAAAAACATCAGTAATAAGATGAACATTTGAAATGCGCCTTTCAACAGCACAAAATATCATCAACGACGGATAGACAAAATTAATTATAAAAATCATCTTCAATAAATTGAAGATTCATTTACTTGAAAGATCTGCATCAATTTCTCCTTCTTCTGTTTCTTCTTAAGGACGAGTAGGGCGTGGGCCTGGTCCCTGCAGAAAATGGAGCAGGCCTTCTTCAAATGGTCGCCCCTGACCCCCGAAAATTGGGACAGGATGACGTCACCAACCTTCGTAACCAACTTCTGCTGTTCTCTACATTTCTGAAATTCCCTATTTATATTTTCTGAAAATAAAATTAAAACAAAAATTAAAAACTGATTTGAAAAAAAAAAGATCAAAAAAAAAACATCAGTTACCGACCATGAACCCCGATAAGTTCATCCAGGTTTGGAAAAATGAGGCCAACCAGGGCTGGGAGGATATTTGGGTCATTCCTCATTGGACGTTCGTACAACATCTTCATGACCTTCAGGTGACGTAAGTGAACTCGCTCAGTGTGGAAAAGTTCTGCATGGTTGGATCAGCGATGAAGGAAGATAAAATTAAAAATTTTCAAAAATCTGCCTAATGTTGAATTTAAATACTAAAATTCCGGATGGCAAAATAAACAAAAGACGTATCGCGAAATCGAAATTACAATTATGATTCACGAATTACAGAAGGAAACATACATCAGAAGGATTCTTTCAAATGACAACAATAAACAGATCCCAACAAGACAGTCATCATCAGCCTTACGAACCATTCAAAGTTTCCTGAAACTTTAGCTCTTTTGGTTTCAGTTTTTTCAGTTCTTCAGGAGAAATAAAGGCCTTGATCGACGGAAGTTCAAGGTCAATGTCGAGGTCAGGGTCACCGATGAGGGCCGATTTGACGGCCAGCGAACAAGAGCGGGATCGAAAAAGACCTGTGTATGACTTGGAACTGCTGAACTCAAACGATGTGCTCGGATCTTCAAACATGGAAGCTGCGATGGAGAAGAGAGATGAGCTGATATAAATAGATAGATGGATAATGACAAAGATGATGATGATGATGATGAAAAATGATCATGTGAATTGTGAACATTGAACAAGCGTTGTTGACAATTTAAATTCATCCCAAAATACCAATCTACGCGGAAATATATCCATTATAAAATCACAATGTACCTCATCATCCATGTATCATCTATCAATCCATTGAAGCAAAAGTAAAATGAAAAAAAAAATAAAAAAAACTTGTTGAACTAACAAAATGATGTGAATGAGAAGTTGGACTTTCGTTTGGAGTTGAAGCACTGTTCAGTCAACTTGATGAGGCAGTGATTGTGCACAAGTGCATCACAGGCTAGATGGGTTTAATGCATTCATTGACCAATGATATGTGTTGATAGAATGTTACTGGATAAATTAAATGACCGAATGAATGAATGAACGGACGAACGAACGGACGAACGAACGAATGAATGAGAAATAAGTAAAGAATAAGTAATTAAAATGATTGATTTATTAGTTGTAACCAGATGTTGAACTTAAACTTTATTTGTTTGAATTCAAACTAAGAGTTTTATTCATTTGGTCATGATATTCCTTGTGGTTTTTTTCTTACAGATTTTTTTGACTTCTATCCATCCCTTCATTCATTCATTCATTCATTCATTCATTCATCCATCCATCCATCCATCCATCCATCCATCCATTCATTCATCAATCAATCTCAAAGAGGAAACAGACCAAGACTAACACAAACACTTGAAAACATTGGTGCCCATGGACCAGGTAGGCTTGTGGCAGACACCACAGTTGGACATGTTGGAGAAGAGCTCCGTCTTGAAGACGTGGGACTTGCACTTGTGTGGGTATAAAATATATGCTGGCCTTATTATCGTATGGAATGTTTGCTATATATTGGCTGACCATTTTAAAACAATGATTGCAGTTGATCATCACTTCTTTAAAATGATGAATCAACGTGAAACTAATTGAAACACTTTACATTGTAATTATGATACATTATAGCTCATTTCCTTAGATCCAACGAGAAAGCCATAAAACGTCACATTTCATTTGTAAATTTCATTAGGAAAATTAACTTCAAAAAGGCAAACAGTGCTTTAATTAGCCAAAACTCCACAATGAAAAATCTATATGGGAAGAGTCAAACAATTAAATACCATGAAATAGTGATGGATACAATCGCAAAGTTACCATTTAAGAAATATAACACAAAATATCAATCTAATTAATCTCAATTACTAAAAAGAACAAAATTTAAAAATTGTTAAAAAGAACCTTCTTCATCTTAGAAGGAACCTTTTTAGACACGAACGTGGGCGAGTCAGACATGGCGCTATGTTTGATGCCGACATACTGCATGAAAGTAGCTAGACAACAGGCCAGTGCTTGCTTCTTATCATCATGTTCCTCGGAACTGGAGATGAATGTGACGATGTTTGTGATGAAGTTTGTGATAATGATGATGATGATGATGACATCGATGATGACGACAATAGTGTAGTTGTGTCTGTCATAACACTTCAGTTATTCATATACTAATCAACATCATTATGATCGATAGAGGCAAACAAAAGTATAACAACTAACGCAAAGGCCTCGTAGCACTTGATAAGCTGCTTCTCAATATACTTCAGCTGCTTGCTCATCTCCATGTTCCTCAACTCAAACTCATTTATGAGGCCGATCTTCTTGAGAAAATCCGCGAAATGCTTGCGCACGATGGTCTGCAGGTAGTTGTCGACGTTGTTGAATTCGTTGCGTAGGGTCACTTCGTCGGCTTCCAACATTTTTGAGAGGGGGGGTACGTCCAGTTGGTGCTGTAACTTGAGAGGCTGTTGTTGGTGTTGTTTGTGTTGGTGTTGTTTGCGTTGGTGTTGTTTGTGTTGGTGTTTGATTTAAATGCGTTGTTAGTTAGTTGTTGAATGGTTGCGTCTCGCTTGCTTGATGTATTTCATGCTGTGGTCATTTATTGACTCTCGTGTTATTTACTGTTATTTATTTGCGCTGCTGATCACGATGCTACTGGCGTTGACGCGTTGTTAGCGTTTTGTGACTTGAGTGAGACGTCGTTGATTGTGAAAAAAGTTTGATAGAATTATTAAGAGAGAAAAAATAAACGAAAAATGCAGATAACAAATGTAACTGTTCTAACAGGTATGAATGAATTAGGCAGCACAAGTAAATTAATGAGAGGTGCGTGAAATATTAATTAAATTTCTTGCTAGCAGCTGATTGTTTTCATTACTTGAAAGCGCACCAAGTAGAGTACATGTCAGTGCACTGAACGACAACATCATAAAAATGATACTTGGCAGGCAGAATTTAGAGCAAACAGACAAACGGTCTAAAACAAACAAATGAATATATAAAAATATAAAAATAACATTAACAACACAATCAAAAATAGACAGACAAAAGCAACAATAATAACGCATACCACAACAGAAACCAACAAGACAACAAACACAACAACATCAACAAAACGCAACAGCATAAACACAAAAACATAAACGAACGGCATGCTGTTCTAGAAATGTTGAGAATATCTCATAGATCCATCTGCTGAAGTTAGCGTCATCCAGACTTGATTGAGTGAGGAGGTAGTTGCACATGGAGTACAACATGGCGTTCTGCTTGTTGTCTTTGATGAGGTCGTATATGAAGGAGGCGGTCAGGGCGGGGTATTGCAAATATGAAGACATCTGATTCGTCAGCTGAGTTTGAACGATAAGAAAAATATAAGAAAATACTATAATAATAAAACTAAACAATAATAAATAATTAAAAAATGTTAATAAAATTAATCTATTTAAAAACAACAAGGCTGGCTGACGAGAACTGTGACGACATGAGTGCAATCCGTGCTTCTCTTCGCTGTCATGGTTCAAATAACATCAGTCTGAAATCCAGACTACCATTTACCTGGTACAGATGATGTGGCCGTGCTTGGGTGGGCAAACGAACACCTATACACGTCGTTTGCTGTAGCACAGAAGTTCGGTTGTGTTGTAACGATGTGAATGGGAATGAAATTTCAAGCAGTCCTTCCGTTTTTCAAGCTAAATTTCCAACAGTAATAAAGCACCAAAAAACTAAAATGGTATATTCTTCACAACGAACCGTTTGATTGACAGTTTGGTTGGTTCTGACGTCATACTGTTGCCTAACAACTACAATCTCCATGTGAGTGCGTGATGACTTGATGATGTTGGACACCATCTCGTTGTCGTACTGAGATACGTTCGTGCCATTTATCTGTTGTCGTGCGTGCGTCGTGTTAGCAATTCTCTCAGGTAACATCAAATAATTGAGCTACAAAATGGCGCAACATTCAACTTTCACTTCGATTACTAAAAATTTTATTACATTTCTCGCAAACGCGCGACGATTTTTTTTCACTATTATATCATATTCATCATCATTGTCAACATTATCATCTTCGTCGTCGTCGTCGTCATCATTGTTGTCGTCGTCACTGTTATAAGTAAACATAACACACTGATCAACAAAAATCGTGAAACATATAAGTGAACAGGATGAAATGGATAAATTAAATTATAACAAAATTGTACAATCCAAAGATACCATAAGTATCATATCTCTACTCTTCAATCCGTGCTTGGCTGCTATACCACCTGGTAAATATTATTAATAAATTATAATTATTATTATAACAGTAATAAAAATAATATTATTATTATTTTCATTATTAAAACAAAGATGACAATAACAATAACAAAAACAACAACAACAATAACAATAAAGTATTTGATAACAATGCCTTGCCGGCTTTTATAATCATAGAAAATAGCTGGCACAAACCTTCAGTTACAGACAATATCACAACTGGTTTGTTTCCACCTGTCTTCATGCCATAACCACTTGCATCTCTCTTCAAAACCGCTTTCCACTTGATCAAGTCAGAGATGAAATTGTCTGGTTGCTGTCTTTGTTGTTGTTTTTGTTGCTGCTGCTGTTGTTGTTTCTGTAGCTGCTTTTGTTGTAGGAGTAGCTGCTGATGTTGTTGCTGTATTTGTTGTGTTTTCTCTTGATTCTGTTGATCTGGATGTGGTTGTAAATGTTGTAATTGGTGGTGTTGCAGTTGTTGTTGAAGTTGTTGTTGTTGAATCTGTTGTTGTTGAAGTTGTTGTAATAGAGGTAGCGAGGTTTGTCTTGAAGTAGATTTTTGAGGTTGCTGTTGAGTCGAATGTTTCCTCAATAAATCAACTTGTTGTTGAGGTTGTTGCATGAATTGATGTTGCGGCTGTTGTTGTTGTTGGATTGAAAACTGTTGACGCTGTTGTTGAAACTGTGTGTCTCTCAATCGATCATTTTGTTGAGGTTGTTGGTTGTCACTGCTGTTGCTGTTGTCATCAAAAACTGAAAAAGTAGTTCTAGACGTTAGTGGTGGCGTTGATGATGACGTAGATGACGATGACATCATCAACGACGATGACGTAGGTAATGCTGATGACATCACTGATGATGACGTAAATGGTAACAAGTTTTG